GTAAATATGACTTAGGATAGCTTGCTTACTAGGTACTGATAAATAGCAACTACATTATTAAAACGTCGATAATTATTGATCCGTTTATTGATGAATTTTATGCAACGTCGCGATGACGTCGCATTTTTTTTTTTTCATTTATAACCCCTCAAAAATAATTTTAATTTGTTATCAGTCCTGTTCATATTCATAACAGATGTTCCTAGTATCGCCTTTTACTAATATCAATAATTATTATCCCTGGACTTCAAACAATTATTTATCTTATGTAACTACATATTTAGGTTTAGATTAAGTAGAAAGCTTACGAGAGAGAGACTTTTGAATCGACTTCAAAAAAAAGGAACTTCTCAATTCGGTTATATTTTTTTATATTTATTACCTCATAACTACATCAGTTGTAAATCGATTCTCATCTCATCAATCGTCCCAACATTTTTTATCCTTGTGTCCTTAATAGTTCTTATAAAAAAACATAATTAAGTAAAATTTTTGCTAAGACTAGCCTCACGTAGCAAAATCAATCTAAATACCTAGATAAATCAATATGTACGTATTGTATGTATGTAAGTACTTAATTTTGCTCCTATATTTCATATATAAACATAACATACTTGTAGATGTACACAATATACATACTCGGTACAGGCACTATGAAAACATTGCCTAATAAGCAGCTTATAACATTTTATGTGACTATCTTACAGAGTTAAATAAATCGACTGTCAAATACACATTCGTGTACAATTTGCGTTTCAATGTGTTGTCATGTTTGTGTGAAGGAAAATCCACAGATATCTATAACAATCAATCAACATGATAAATGATTTATTCCATGGTGCTGGCGTGTACATTATGTTCCTTCGCGTTTCATATTTTTTACTTAATGGTGGCAAATAAGCATACGACCCGTCTGATCGTATATTACGGTAACCAATGACCGCCTGCAACACCCAGGGGTGTCACTCGAGAATTACCGACTCAGATAAAATCTTATTACGCCCTTTTTAAAGAACCCCACGCTCTAGGGAAAACTTAAGAAGGAAGTTTAGTGAAATGCTAAAAATAACATGCCTAATAATGTAATTTAATATGTTATAAAATAAATCAAATTTTCAAAATACGTAAATACCTATATCATGTACAAAAGAAATATATTAATTCTATATTTTATTAAAACAATAGACAGATAGCTAGATAGATAAATAATTTATTTGCATCACTTACAGCACACAAACAGCAATAGATACGAATGCAAAGTGAAAAAAGATAAAAAAAAAGATGCATGTACAAAAAATTAAAAACAAAAACAAAATCAGAATGCATAAAATTAGTAACATTGTTTTTTTCTTCATGCGTGTGCCACAGTAATACAAAATGGCCACAACTCAGCTTTTTGCTTTGCCCTAAAAAGAGCAAAATAGTGATATTCTGTTGTGGCCAAAAGTGAGCCGCGAAATACCACTGAAAAAAAAAAATAAACAAAGAAAGAATAGCAATATTAATAAAAATGTTCAGAAATTATTAAGATCATCTTAATCGAGATTGAACGACCATTTTATAGTATTTCAAGAACTATACATCTATGCTATCTCTATGGTAACCTTACTCAACATCGAAGTTATGTTCACAGTAGGTCTAGCTAATAAAAAAGTTATGTAGCTACCCAATTTGTGATCAAGCTTTTCTCTGCCATGTGCCCATGATAATATGTGACAGCTGCACTCTATATGAGGCCGAATTTAGAACACAGACGTACAATACGAGGTCTGTCCGGAAAGTTCGTATAAAAGTGTTCTGGAATGCGAGAAAGAAGGCTATACATATATGCTATCTATCGGCATGGAGCCCGCTTCCGTTGAAGAGCAGCGCGTCGTAATCAAGTTTCTCTCGAAACTCGTTGATGTCTCAGAACAGTATGGGGATGATGCTGTGAGGAACCAACCGTCCACAAGTAAAAAGGTCAAGACAATGTTGATGTTTTTTTCGATGTTCTTGTCCATCAAGAATTCGCCCCTCCAAGACAGTTGATGGAAAATTCTACGTCGATGTGCTCAACGCTTCGTGTGGCACGAGTTCGTCCAGCGCGATGGATTCTTCACCACGACAATGCCCCTGCCCATCTCTTGATTTTTGAATATGTGACAGCTGGCACTCTATATGAGGCCGACATAAATTAAAAAAAGAACACACAGTGGACGTTGGCACAATATAATAACTTTGAGGGGATAAAATTGATTTACCTGAATAATTTAAAATAAAATTTTTAAAAAACTTTTATACGTACAAACATAATAACTAAGTATTAAGTTTATTAAAAACAGTTAATAATAACTGTTTTAATAATAACTGACTTGTGTCTTGTACTTTATAGGACAAGTCAGTTACCACAAGTAAGATATTAATTACTATACATTATATTTTTACTAAATTTCTTAGAAACGACACTGAAGACTGAATGGTTAGAAATGAGTCTAAGATTTGGTTAAATGCACTCTATTTTTTTTTTTGACGTCTGATTCTGTATCTTAGGTTGTTTTATACCTGAATGTCCCATAAAAACTTTGATTTTCAACTGTAAGTAGGTACGTATCACGAAAACAGCAAGGCGAAATGCACAGCAGGTAATTGATACCTAGATAACAAAATACCATAGGCTTTTATTGATTTAAAAGTAATATACCATCAAGGTCTATATGAAAAATGTTATTTAATAACAAATCTGTACCAATAGATATTAAATACTTTATTAGATAATTTTATATATATTTATACAACTATTTAATATATTTTTTTTTATACAACTTAGACAAACAAGCTAACGGCCCACCTGATGGAAAGTGGTAACCGTCGCCTATAGACATGAGCAGTACCATGGACATAACAGAGTATACTGTTTCGCCCATGATACCCCCATGCGTTGCCATTCCTGAGGACTCAGGTGTTATTTCTCTGTACCCAGTAAATTCACGCCATATCCCACTTCACACCGAAACACAGCCATGCAAACACAACTGCTTCACGGTTGAAACACGAATGGGACAGAGGTACCCAAGCAATCGACTTTTGTACAAAGTCTCTCTGTGGTAAAATAGTTTAATTGTTAGATCAAAATAACTGGTTTTGTCACAAATAAAGTCGGTTTTGTTGGACACAATCTTTAATTATCGTTATCAACTACCTAGTCATCCTATCGCGACTGTATATTATTCCTGTATGTTAACGCAGTATCACATGCACAAAAGCACATTAATCACAGTTCTGACTATGTAGTAAATACAGTTAGTGATTAGATTTCGTGTTAGTCCACCTGTATGGTCAAACAAATTTGAACCGTACTCACTTGAAATAAGAAATAAATTACTTAGTGTGTATTCATTTATCCCCGTGTGTGAGCAGTGAAAATCCAATGAGATTAAGCATACCTTACTGTTGCTTGATTAACTTTCCGATGATTGAAATACCTACAAAAATCAAATCCAATTCATCAGAGTGGAACAGATAAATATTCCTGCATAGTTTTATATACCTATACTTTAACCTATATCTGCTCGACCTTATAATATAAATAAATTAATAAATATGCTTAAGACTATAATCCCTAATCGGGAGTTTTTGCCAATTGTTGGGGTGAACATAACACTCGTCATGCCCTTAGTGAAAAATAATGCTGTCTCAAAGCTTGTGTACTCCTCTGTTAGTAAATATGAAATTTATTATAATCAGTCCCGTAATTCTAAAAATTAACCCTACCACAAATACAAATGTAACCATGTAAATGTAATCATCATCCATTTAGGAGAGTATTGTACTAGAAAAATTAAACATTTATCCCAAAACACTTGAGTCGAAACACATAAAAAAAAATGTTGACCCTTGCATACTAATCTAATCCTTGCATATTAATCCTTGCATACTAATAATAACGAATCCAGCTGTCAACTGAGTTTGAGAAGTTTAAAAATTTTTGTCGTCTAAAGTATCTTTATGAAATAAAATACCAGTATATTCTATATCTCTAATAAAACACTCCCTACAAAGGATGCGTTTAATTTCAGTTTCATTTTTCTTTTGTTTTTTTCGTTGTAAGTAATTACTCTTTTAAAAATTTTAGCAGGCGGTAAATGTACATAATTAATTACTTTGTGGAATTTATTAGCCCCCTACAAAGATGACAAAAGGAACATTACTTTTCCCTGTAGCTTTTGGTTATAACTCAATGTGAGTCAGTCACTATCAAAACAGCCGGATAAAATGCGCGTAACCATTTTATTGCATTTAGCTAAAAGCCTTTACGATTTCTATAAAGCAACCATGCGTTACAATTTACAACATACCTATATTATAAGTATATATAGCATACACCTAATATAGATATTTATACATATATAATCTGCGTTACTGTAGATATACATGGTTAACTAAACTACTGACCCTCGCGATCTCGTACGGATACACATTAAGATGTATTGCACTTACATACAAACCTTTCTATATAATTTTTAGATGACAGTAATATCAGTATCCAAGTCCGCTGCACGATTTAGAAGACTTTGTTCTATACTATACATATTACCTACATTAAATAACTTTTTACATTTAAGCACCAAGTAGTAATAAACAAACTCATTTTCAACGTAATAATGATTTGGTATCAAAAAGGGCATAGAAACTAAGTTGATTCATTTTTATACCAGCCAATCATAATATCCCAGTTACACGGACGAAGTAGTGAGAAGAGCTAATACTTAAATAATATGATTCTAGATTTATCTGTGTATATAATAGTACCTAGTCTCTTTGATTTATGGAGTGATTGATCTATAGAAAAGCACAGATAAAACAACAACATTTCATACTTTTTTATGAGAAGAGTTAAACCACTTGATCTGTCTAAATATCATTATAAATTTTCAGTAATAAAATTATTAAGATTTAAACAAAATATAAATCAATAGTTGATAAGTTTTAGTGATAATAAAAAGCTGTCATTTTATTAATTAGTTTAATCATGAATATAAAATAACAGAGAATACAACTTAATTGTATATACTAGGCTATCTATGGCTATGTTTCTTGTTAGTATTTTGCATGATTAACACTTCAATGCACTTAGTACCAAGTAGCTTCCAGTCTTGTTCTCGCTTATAAATCTATTACCTTCATTTATTTTCAATCTATGAGATTAACCTACGAGTATACCTAAAGAAATCCACTATATTGAATTTAGTTAAAAGCCCTACATGGTTTTCTATGAGAATCCATAAATTGGCATTAAATCGTGCTTCGAAATACACATTAATTTTTACTTATTTATTTAATGCAAACAGACAGCTAGAACAATACATAATTACACACTTAAATAGTAATTTAACATGTCATAATCATTGTCTATATAACAAAAGCAGTCTAGAAACACTTGACACCAGATAACGCTTCTCTATCACAAGTAGTTACGCTATCACTGTTTGTAATGAAATAAAGACCAAAATGAAAGAAATATTAGAAAGACTTTCGTAGGAGGTAACATAATAGTTATAGGTTGTTTGCCATTCCCAATTATACTAATAAACAAAAGTAATCTATTTTACGGATTCTCATAGAAAAATAACAATTAATTTATAACAAAAATAAAACAAGAATAGAATCCTAAACGAATTGTTTAGGAGAATCCTAAACGGAAAATAGAAAATCTAAATCCACCTAGAAGCTTGTGCGTGATTAAATAGGGAACATACAAACATCTGCAAACTCTTTCTAATTCATATTATAGTGAAAGCAGTTGTACTAACACTTAACAACAATGTTCATGCCTTTAATTGTTCATCTAAGCATTATGAATTTTAAACAAATATTGATTATATAAACTGCCTTATTTTATAAAAAACACATTTACATTTGGTTAATTACTGACTATAAATTCAAATGGCCACTGACTACCCGCCATTGAATAAATTTATTTCAAGGCTATGCAACACTGTTGCATCTCTGCCGACATTTCCCATTAGACCTTCTTGGAGTCAGATTGCTGACTGTTAATAATATGAACACTATCCCCATTTCCCCATCAATATACACAATTTTTTTTTAATTGATGACAATGAAATGATAACCGCGCCTACGCTAACGGTATACGCTGGATGATAATGAAAAGGCAGATCAGTTACCCCATCATGATGGATAAGCCTAGAATTCAACAAGATAGTTTCCAGGGAGGGAAGGGGCACGTGAATGTCGACCTGACAGGGTATATTGCTAGCAATCCCTTCCTTCTCAATATACCCTATTAGTTCGACCTCCACGCAGCTCCCCTGGAAACCATAACAAATAAATTTGTCACGATGGGCCAACTCATCTGACTTCATCCTCATCTATCATCCCTCACTTCTACTCCGCCACAAGTGGATACTGATAACGCCTCAACTTACTTTGTCAGTTCTAAACCAATTTGGAAAATTCTTTATTATCTGAAAGGATTTACTTACAGAATAGTCTCATATAAATTTTATCAATATCGGTTCAGTAATTTAGTTTTTAGATCAAAATGACTAATTGTGTCACAATGGAAGTCGGTTTAAGGGTTTAAGGGACACAATCTTTATAATATATTATTTTTAAATTTTACAATTAGACACCTACATACATATATGAATGAATATCAAGTACATATATTTCTAACAGGCTTTTAGATAACAATATGCATTAGCTAATATTTTTTATCTTACATGTATTATTGTATTTTCACTATTATATGAGATATTAAGTACGTACTTCTTAATTAGAACAATAACCCATATTATTCATTTGATTTAGTGGCGCTGTTTCCTTTAGATCTTCTTTGTTTTTCTTAGCACAACATTGACAACAGATATATATGGCAAGCACGACAGCTAACAAGAGCGGCAGCCAAATGTATACGGGTAGCCCACTTGACTTCACAGTATCAGCATACTGTTTCAGCAACGTACACGGTATTGTGTGATTTTCTCGATTCATAGTCGAGTTGTGCCAAATAGTACACTCTTGACGATTCGTCACTTCCAACGATGATCCAGTACTGACATTCGGGTGTACGTGAATTAAAGACGACGATATATCAAATGTTTCTGCATTAGGATCTTCTTTTGCTGTAGCGTTCGCCATAAAGGAAGACATCATGAAACAAGGGAAAGTCGTCTCCTCGAAATGTTCGTGATCAATAATTTGGAGGGAGCAACTTTCTTTCTTGTGCGCCGTATAATGTGTACTCGTATAGTGATGCGGTTCGTTTGATATCCTTCCTAAATTGTACAAAGCGAGACCGCTTATTAAATCTCCAAAATGTCCACCAGATTCTCTGTACTTATAAACATAGGTGGGCGGTGAGCCGTGATACACTGGATACATCTGGGGCGTGTTACAGTAACGGCACTGGAAGAAAATATTGCTCGGTGGGTGATAGGAGTAGTATCCGTGGTGTGAATAAACATGATGAGCGGAGATCGACCGTCCATGCGATCCTGTACCGTGACCGTAACTGTGACTGTTACTGTAACTATGTCCGCCTGAGTGACTACTCCTTGCACTGATATAAGAGTTTGTAATATAAAAATAGATGATAATTATTTTATGGGGCTGCATATTGCCAATTGCAGCGCAAACGGCGGGCACCGACGTACGACTGGCGGGGAGGACGAGATAATGCGCCGAGTCTTAGCCAGAATGCAGACGCGTTGGCGCCAGTCTGACGAGGACGCGGCCATACTACTGTATACCCCAAACAAATCCCTCTCTATTTATGTATATATATTTAAGTATTAATACTATATTTACATGTATAAACGCTTCTCTAATTACAAAATAAGTATTTGAGGGTTTCATATTAAAACGAAGAATTCCTATAGTAAGTCATAATTGTATTATTTAGAGACGTCACCTATCACACTGATTGCCAGAGATATATCTTCTTAAAGGCATATGCTTGGATACCTTATTCCCACTTGTATTACTGCTTATAATTCGAAGGCATAAAAATAAATTCCGTTAAACTATATTTAGAGTAGAACTACATAGAAATATTAAATGTCAATTAGTACAACAATTAATCGAAAATAAAAAAAAATATTAAGTACTAGTGATCTGACCCAGCTTCGCACAAGCAGATATAATTTTCGAAAATAATAAATAGCCTCTGAAATATTTTTCAGTTCATCCATTACAAACAAGAATATCTTTTCTCTTTTTTACAGATAGACACTTATTTTCGTTTTTTTTTTTTCAATAATATCGTCATATTTATTTGTTTTGACAAAGGAGAAAATTATCATATTCACTGTCTTTTTGTACATACGTTAAGGGATATTTTGGCAAATTCTGGGGAGATATTATTAATTCACTAGTTTATTCGTACCGAATTATGAAAATAATAAATGTCACATATTTACACCAATCTCCTGTTTCTCAGATTGTGTTATGTGTCCATGCAAAACCAATCAACAAATTTAAACCACAATCCACATACGAACCATTTTAAAAAAGATTATTTCCTAGATTTGCTCAACCAAGAACTGAAGCCAAGATCTCATCTATGCAAAATGACGTCTATACCATGGAAATTATCTAATTGAATTAAATCAGCCTGTACTTATTATATAGATGGACCGTTTATTTTGAAAGTGGTGTAAATCCATTTTTGAAGAAAATGAGCTATCACGTAATTCATGCTTATTTAATGTAATTTTTTTTATATATAACTAGGCCGTGTTTAATTTCTCAAAAAAATCACATGTTTTGTACAACTTAAAATCGGTCGGTAAATGAAATTGCATAATCATCTATTATGAAAGTGGTGTAAGTCCAATTGACAGAGGTAGGTGGCATAGCAGTTGGATGCCGATTAGTGTTTTGTTATTTTTCATTTATTTAAATTTGAAAAAATCGCCCTAGAGCCTTTGTACCAAAATGCCAGACCTATTACGTACGAAAAATATAAAGACACGAAGCAGCTACTACCCTATATACCTCCGGTGCATCATGCATATTTTGAAACACTATCACATGCAGAAAATAAGTAAATTCTTGTAATAAGTATCTTGTAATGACAATGTAATTGCCGTCTAAAATAAAATTTTATGTGTTGTTATGCGTATTTGTAAACAAAATTATAATAAAATGAAGTATATTTTAAGCGATATTTGATTTTACAAAATTGAAATTAAACGATTTTTACAATTGTCTAATTTTGAAAGTGGTGTAAGTCCATTTACAGCACATAAATATGTGTTATCGTAGTCTAATTAGGCAAAAACAAATTTATATAAACAAATTAAATGTTGATAAAACAATAGAAACAATGCCAGACCTCATATGATTTGCCTGTATTTTTAAATCAACAAATATAGTAACCTTTAATTTTCTCGAAACAAAAGAAAATGGACTTACACCACTTTCAAAATAAACCGTCCAGATAATGGTTTAATATAAATTGTACTCATTATGTCTCCAAGTAACTTGAAACTAATCATGCACGCTATAAGGTCCAGACTGGTGGCAACGTAGTGAGCCGAGTCAGAGATCGCTATAGTTGAGTGCAGTGATAGATGACTCGTTCATCACACTTATGAACCGGTGCTGCTTGTATTACTTTGTAATACATATAAATAGAACTAAATGCTACATACTCACACAAATGTAAAATTATCTTGTACATAAACGAATTAAAAGGAGTAACTGTTGAGTTTCTTGCGGATGTTTCTCAACAGATACCATAACAACATTCCAAACCCAGCAATAGAATCTGTAAAAATGACGATTTAAAAGAGCTTGTAATTTAAGTTAATTTGAATAAATATTATTTATTTCTATTCTATTATCTTATATTGTTAAGAAGCAAAAATCTTAACAATTTAATCCAGAAAATGAAGCCTTGGAGACTTTATCGACTTCGAATTTAATTGTAAATCCCATGTTCGTCCCACACGACAATGTATAAGCGGTACAAAAATTTTCCTTTGTGTTTATTCAAAACATAGTCTTTAAGAGAAATTTCATTCAAATCCGTTTATAAATAGGTATAATACGTGATTGGATAACAAAATATCCAAACTTTCACATTTAAAAATATTTGTTATGTAGTATAGATCGTGGACATAAAACAATCACCACTAAAATTTACAATAACAACAAATATATACCATATATATATATATATATATATATATATATATATATATATATATATATATATATATATATATATATATATATATATATATATATATATATATATATATATATATATATATATATATATATATATATATATATATATATATATATTATATATACCTTATCCTAGTACCGACACCAGTCTCTCACAAAAATTGTTTTGAATTATAACCTACGTAGCTTTAAGTTTTATTATGTTGTTATTTTGTGAGAGACATAAATAAAATAAAAAATAGTACCTTTCATGCCTATGGGTGACAATTACTACTTTTCATCAAGTGGGTCGACCAGTGCCATCATGCCCAGGAATAGCATTCGCATAATTTCCATTATCTATGCTTCGCAATGATAGATAAAATCGAAACTACATCAATTCTATTTGAAAATTTTTTTTCTAAAATTCTGTTGATGTTCTAATTACCATAAACTAGACTTTTACATTTAGACCCAATTACACTCAGAACTAAACAATGAAATATACGAGTTTAAACGACTTAAATGAGCCATTAGATTTCTTATACCTACATTCTCGCTGTTTTGTATTCGTATTACGAATACAAAACAATACTTATTATTCTTGATAACAACTTTGGTCTATCTCCACACTAATAGACTTGATTTTGTTAAAATTTCTCTAAATTATATAATATATTTTTAAGTGTTATCCGTATATGTTACGTCTCAGATAATATTACTCTAATGTAAAAACTACCGGTTTAATTTACGTGTAATTAAATCAAAAAAGCTCGACTAGTTTTGGAATCAATTCGTAATCTTTAGTCATGAGCGGCTTTGACACGAGCACGATCCTAATAATAGATAGATAATATTACTATTTTAACTGGACAAATTTTGTAAAGAGGAAAAATTAATTTCTTTTTGTAATAGATAAACTTAAAAAATATTTAACCTAATTTTAACACCTATTGAAAGTTCCATTATCAGCAAATAACATGGATTGAATTTTATTTAAACAAAAATAGAAACTCCTACTACAATTGCAAAAATGTATTTATTTACTCCTGCAAATGGGAACAGGTTGCTAGTACTACATATAATTTAAATGTTAAAGAAAAACATGAAACTACCTGCATGTACATAATGTTTCTTTCGTATTTCGTGTGTAGCATGCTTTATATAATTGCTCACAGTTCTCTATGTTCACTATAGTTAAAAACCACTCTCAATCCCAAAAAAGATATTTAGTTTAGTGAATGAACAACGGACACACTATTTACCTGAGAGACGAGACGCCATCATACAACTCCACACAAAGCGGACACTTCCTGCGAGATATCGAGATGGACAATTTCCTGAGCATTGTCACTTAGACGCAATGTCTCCTTGACCGACGTTGATTTAAATTGTATACAGTAGATCGTGATGATATTTTTCTGTACTATTCCACTTAATTTATCGACAGCAGAATCCTCCTGTTTTATTATACGTTTTAATCCTTGACGCCAAAATTTCTTGATGCTTTAATATATGAAATACGCTTAGACCGTAAGTTTGAAACTACACCGTGCAACGTCATAACATTTTTTTTTCTATGAATAATATTTGAATAAAATACATCCTACGAATATCGAATTTTAATGCATTATTATGGAATAGTAACCCTGCGTATGGTAAAGTCTCGGTTAACGCTAGCGAGGTCCCAATAAGGGACGATAGGTGAGGAAGAAACAAGTCAGCCCATCGTGACGACTTTATCAAGAAATAACAACGATGTATTCCAAGAGGGGTCCCTCTTGAAATACATCGTTGTTATTTCTTCCATGGAGTGGACCAAGAAGCCCAATGCTCTTGCAAATGATAAGGCATATTAATATTAGATGATATTGCAAGTAATGGAGCTATTTATCCTCATTACTTACAATCCCTTCTCCCCTACACTGTTAGTTTTACTAGTGAGAGATGATAGGTGAAAACGTGATGAATACACGAGGAATTAATCAGCGGCAAGGTCTACCTTACTGACTGAATAAACTCTATATTACTAGCTATGTGCCAACATATTCAATAGTTCCAGTTACTAACACACCCCTCCCCCGCATTTTAGTAGTTGTACTCAGAGTAATTGTACAGATGATGCAATAAGCTGGCCTATGTGCTATACAGAATACATGCAACCAGTATCAAATCTTTAAACAAACGTACACTTTGGTGTATAGTAAATAATACGCTTACAAGTTTCAATATGTACCAAAATATGTGAACAAATATATAGTATAAGTATTAACATTTAACACTCATTTTTCACTGCACTCTCTGGCTCTGAATTGCATCATCATCATCATATCGGCCATTGTCTGATCACTATTAAATATAGGCCTCTCCCATAGATTGCACGCCTCGGTATACAGAACGGTCTCAAACCACCTCCCTGTGGTGCCAAGGTGTCCAAGCTGACTCCCTGCAATACATTTGAGATCGTCATTCCATCTAGTCATCATCTGAACCTAATATCAATCGTTATCTGTTCCCTACTACATATACGCATCTTCCACTAACAGCCATGACGAACAGTCATG